ACTCCGGGGGGAACTTGGTCCCGGAATAACCGGATCGGGATCGATTGCTGCTACCAATCTTTCGTGTCCACGGCCCCTATTAACGTATTAATAACGTATTAAACACCTCACTGAACATCTCGACCCGGCCAGACACAGGAATCAAATAACCCGACCTAGCCAAGTAGTGAACGGCTCCTATTAATGACCGGCCAGGATCATCTAAGTGGGAAGGTCAAGTTGGGTAAATCACTCAACCTAGTCAGTGTAGATTACACTCCCAGCCTTCACCCTGGCGAGCACGAAAGAATGCCGGGGCGTTATATGGAATGGGGGGGAAGTAAAGACTCAGCTTTATCAGACAGACAGCTAACTCCATTGGCATTGGATAGGAGCACAGATTGACAATCATCCGAAGCATTGAAGGATAGGATGGCAGGAGGGAGATAGGCTCTTCGAGACCTTGCCAACGACCGACGAAGAAGGGTCACCAGAAAGCTTGATTGCTTTCCCATTTGTGGACACCCCTTCCGAAGCTTGTCGGCCCAGAGGGAGTTAGCCTTCGCGCTCCCAACTCCAAGTATCAATCAAAAACCTCGAAGTGCCTGAGACATATAGAAAAACCCGTCAACCGCTCTCTAGGAAGTTGTAGACGCATGGAAGGAGATTCATGAACGAAGTCACCCAAGTAAGCGCCGGGAGCGTTGGGAGAGCGCGGAGGAATAGGGTTTTTCGTTCAACTCCTTCGGATCCAATGAATTCCGAGAGAACGATGGAGATGGAATTAGCAACTCGGGTAGGTCGGTCGAGCATCTGTTGTATCCATCCGGCAGGCGGGAGATGAAGGCAGGAATATCTACGTATTATGGGTGCGGAGGAATAGGGATCCCTATTCCCTAATACCCGGTGCCCTTTGACTTATTTTCTCGCTCCTGAGACTGATGGGTCAACCCATTAGTCTTGTTATACCAATCCGTTGCCTTAGGAAAGGCGAGTCGATTCAAGATCGGAGTCATCTATCGGTTTGAGATTCCTTCGCTGTAGAAAGGAGTTCCATATAGGCTATATCATAAGCCGTACATGGGAGGCCACATCAAGTCTACTCCTTCGTCTCACTCTAACATTTTGGCTATTTCAGAGGTTAGATGCAGGAGGTTAAAGAGATAGGATTCACTTTAGAATCCAATAAGGTGAGAGACATTATCCATAAAAACAAGCTAAATGAGGGGTAGAAACCACAAATTACAGTATTTTCTTGGTCCCAAAAAGACCCTTATTTCCTTTTCTAGAAACAGCTTAAAAATAGTCTCTTCTTTCTTTTTTCTTGCCAAATTTTGACTCACAATCCTACCTTTTCTTTTTTTCAAATTTTGTGTCAAAGTCAACTGAGAGTTTTTTCATAAAGATTGGGAGTAGTAATTAGGGGGAATAGATCCTTACATAGTTCGGAAAAGCCAGCAATTCCGGCAAGGGAAGCCGCGCAACCTGTGAAAAGAATCGTCCCTCTTCCCCTTTCAACCATGCCCGGCAACACCTAAAACCATTTCCATTTATATTTCTTTCTTTCAGCCTTATTCCATCTTGAAATTGAGCACAAAAATAGGAACAAATTGAAGAAAAAAATAACCTGCTGAGCACAGTGGAAAGCCCCGACGGAGGAAATGGCCATGGATTTCTCGAATTGCTCGACCTTAATATCCACGAAATTCGTCAACGGGATCGGCACCGTCTTGTAGGCATTGTAAACCAAAACTTCTACGAATCCGAGGGACAAGACCCCCTCGAACGCTTCTCGTATGCTCCGAGTGTCGGAACAGTCTATCCTTATGGCGAACACTTGGGCCTTCTCTTCCCTGGCGATCTCGTCGGCGAATCTGGACAGGGCGCCCAAGTCCCGGGCGAGAATCGCGACGGTGTAGCCCTCGTGGACGAACTTCCGGGCGATTGACCGGCCGAGCTTCGGACCGACGCCGACCACGGCGGCGATGCCTCTCGGTGGGGCGGCGGAGCTTGACATGCTGCGCATCATCATCTTCCCTTTATTATTATTTGACTTATTGCCTGCCTGGGATTTGAGTTATTTGTTTTTGTGAAACGAATATAATTATTATTATAATAATAACAATAATACCAATTGCCAGAGAGGATAATGCAGCGAGTTTGTGCAATATATACAATGTACGTGGTCGCTGTCGGAATCGGTGTCCCTATAAGGAAAGGCATTACAAGTTATTTGATGGGAACTGACGAGAAAGCCCAATCATTTGCCGTAGATCCAACTATATATATATATATATACAATGCTTTTGTGATTAGTTTGTTGAGTTAATTCTTTTCAAAAACTAACCCACCATCTTGACTAAAGTATGGAAGAGCTCTTGGAGGGTAGTAATGTGGTAGCGAATGAGCTTTTATTTTGTTCAAATGTATTTTTGGGTGTCATGAAAATAAACTCTAGCAGGTTACCTGATTTCGAAAGTCGAATCAGATTGGTAATGTAAACTCAACATAGAGTGAAAAGAGAGTTTGAGAAGATGATATTGGAGCAATAATATTGAAGATTAATTTGAGCGCGTCATTTACAATGACATTTGCCTCTATTTATAGGTCCAATTGTGGGTGAGCACAACAACAATAACACAGTTAAATCCCACAAGAGTAGGGTCTGGGGAGGGTGTGTGTACGCAGACCTTACCCCTACTCGAAAGTAGAGGGGCTGTTTCCAAAGAGACCCCCGGCTCAACGTCGAAAGTTGCATTGCTTGACTAACTGCTACTTCATTAATTAAAGAACCGCAAACAGTTTAAAGATCCATTTTGATTTATTCCATCACACCCCAAAGCCAAAAAATGGTGAAATTTTGGCTCCATCGGAGATGATGGAAAGGTGAGCACATGGTAAGTATATACTCATAAAATGTTCCATTAGCCTTGGTCTTCAATTCCTCCACCGTTGACACACAACCTTGTGCTTCTCGTGCAATTAGCAACTAGGCACAATCAGTTCGAAAAAGAAGTCGCTTCCTTCCACGTAATAGCTACGCTGGGGGCTTGCTCTCCGCCCTTTGTGGGCTTGGCCCACTAAATGGCCCGCACCTTGAATGCCATGTGGGCTCTTTGTCGGGAATTGAGCCGGACCTAAACCCCAAAGGCTCTGTAATGCCCCGAAACCCGGCCTATCAGGATTAATTAATTAAAAATAATTAATTAATTACTGAGACAAACACGGTGTAGTTTTGAAATATTCTTCGTTTGACAAAAAGGTTTATACCGTTGTGTAGGGTTTGACGGAGTGAATCGTCCAACGATGCAAACAGATTCAGATTTTGAATCCGTGGGCTTGAAAAGTGCGTTTTGGGCCAGGTACGTTAAGTAATTACGGAGCCCAAAACCCCAAATATGTAAATAACTCCCTACACACCCATAAACCCTCACGCTACCCATAACAATTTACGTAACCTTCTCTCTCGTTCTCTTCTCCCGACCGAAGAACGCAAAACAGAACGCCGCAGTAGCGCGAGGGAGAAGAAGAAGAAAAGAAAAAGAAAAGAAGGAAGAAGAAGAAGGAGTTCATCATCACGTTCCCGCGCTCGTAGTATTATCGTCGTAGTTTCTAAACATTGTATTCGAGGTGAGTACGTGGACATCTAGCGTATAGTTGTATTTGTAGGTTTGAATTTTACGTTCGTAGAATCGCTACGGTTGAGTTACATGAAACCCTATTTGATTAATATGTTGGGTATGATGTTTGTGTGTTAAAAAGCATGAATCGAAATAGGTAAGGTTATAAGATTATTAGATAATGTTTGTAATGTTAAGATGAACATATTGATGTCTATTTTTATGAATTTGGTGATGGTTTGATGTGGAAAAACAGAACTGATGCAGAGTCAGGATTCATCGCGACCAACGGTAGGGCGGTACTGCGGAGACGGTATCGTGCTACCGCCACCAATTTGTGTATTCCATTCTATCGGCCGGTACCTGGGACCAAACAGTACCTATGTACCGGACGGATGGTAGGCCCTACCGCCGAGTCGGTAGTGGCTACTATGACAGGCCTACTAGATTAGTACAACAGCTATTTCGGACAGTACCCCCGTACCGTGGGGCGGTACCTAGGTACAGTGGGGTCGGTACCCCCTACCGTCAAGAGTACCATAAGCACCTGAATAGAGACCGGTGATCTATGTCTCGTCAAGGATTGATCTTGAGGCTTGTGTGTTGCATGATGGTAAAATGCACTACAAAAAATTTGGTATTTTGGCGCACTTAAAATGGTGGTTCGCCACACTTTACACCCAGTGTTAGGCCGCTATTTGATGATGTTGGATATGTTGACAAATGTATTGTAGAATTGTGTATGTTGGATTATGAACTATTAAAAATGTTGGACGTATCACCTAGAAGAACTCTAGAGACTAACCTGAATGGATTAGTGGGAAGGTATGCCATAATGATAGTAAGTTAGAGTCATGTGTTACCTGCTGGGCCCAATGGTTGTTCGGGTAAAAACGTGTGCACGAGGATCTATGAACTATCGTTTTGCAAGGGACAGATATCTCACCCACCCAACAATGAACTCCCGAGTTTGTTTCAAGCTTGACCTTCGTTTTGAAGGGGAAGGTCATGAATTCCATAGGCAAGTTGAGATTAGTTAATCTTTAACCTAGCATAGGTTAAGAGCTAGGTATAAGAAAGAAAGTAAATCGAATCGGTAAGGAATTACTCAGCTTTTGTATCATTGTTTGATTATATCTTGTGAGGTGTTATGATATTGTTAGGTATGTTTATGTGCATGATATCGTATGATGATATGGGCTAGTGAGGTCGTCTATGGGTATATCTATATGTTAGATATTTCTCACTTAGCTTCAATGTTAAGTGTGTAACGTTTGTTCTTTTGTTGCACGTAGGTAATCCAGGGAATGAGGAACTTGGAGCCAATCCCGGAGGGCGGTGAGGATGAAGAGATGTGCGTAGCGGTTCTTGATGATTTTGAATTACTGTTTATTTCTTAATTAATTTATTACTTTTACGGGCATGATTCCTAAGTTGTGTTTTGAATAATGTTTTAAGCTTTCGCAAACATTTTGATTATTACTCCGAGGGATGTTAAATTATATTTCGAAGTATTACCTTGAATTTATTCGAAAATTAAGTTGTGTTAGGGTACCAATTTTGTAGCAACCCGGTTCGCTAATCCGAGCATTCCGATTATGCAGGTTGGGGTGTTAATTACATGCTCGTTATCGCATCATAGACCCCCCCCCCCACTTTTCGTGCGTTAAAAGGCTTTTGAGGGTGAAGAGTAAGTAACCACTTCTAACTTGCCCTCGGCTCGGCCGTACATGTGGCGTCATCTTGGACTTATTAGTGCTCAATTGCCAATTCTTAAAAAGGGCGCAACAGCCGTTTTGTCCCTTCACGACCTTGGCGAATAGTGCGATGAACGGTCCTCACTATAAGAAAGTTGGTGTTTTGCCGCACTGAAAATTGTTGTTCGCCACACTTATAAATGTGGGAAAAAAAATTTTGCCACACATGCACTAGATATCATCCTATTCTTAAAAGCAGGGGAATTCTGCCCCAACCTTTTCCCGCCCAAAGCATTAAGATTTTGCACCATTGATTTCAATCGATCTACGGTTATTCTTCATTTTAATATAGTACCGATTTAATATATTGTATTTAAGGTAATTGCAATTAACACACACATATTGGAATTAATGTGGTGTACAATTTCATCGTGAATTATTATATTGTATTTAAGGTAATCGGGAATAAAATACGATGTAATTCGGGCAATTATTACCTTAATTAAAGAAATATATTAATGCATGCTATTAAACGAAACATCATTAATTCAAAAAAAAAAAATAAAACTAACAAGCTAAAAAATAATGGTTTAATAACTAGCGTAATTTTTAAACATTATAAAAAAGGAAATATATTAGTGCATGCTTTTAAAACGAGACATTATTAATTTTAAAAAAAAATTAACTGACTAAAAAATAATGGTTTTAGAAACATGCGTAATTTTTAGCCCCGTTTGAAAAAGTAAACTGACTTTTTATAAAACTAACAAAAAATTATGAATCTAAAAAACTAGAAGAATAATGGTTTAAAAGGTATGATTAGTAAAGCATTAAGATTTTGCACCGTTGATTTCAATCGATCTACGATTATTCTTCATTTTAATATAGTACCGATTTAATATATTGAATTTAAGGTAATCGCAATTATCACACACGTATTGGAATTAATGTGGTGTACAATTTCATCCTGAATTATTATATTGTATTTAAGGTAATTGGGAATAAAATACGATGTAATTCAGGCAATTATTACCTTAATTAAGGAAATATATTAATGCATGTTTTTAAACGAGACATCATCTATACTTTATTTAAAAAGAGGTGAATTCTTTGACCAGTTTTCCCGCCCATGGATGTGTTGATTTTTTATTATATATGGAGAGGTTTTGACATATTTTATGGAAGAATATAATGTTTTATATGGAATTTAATAAATAAATATAAACATAAATATTATTATTAATCACGGTCAAATTTCTAAGGGCGGTCTAGATTTATTTTTGGAAATTTTTTTATATATGGGCTTTAATAAATATATATAAATATTTTCTATCTATTAATCATTTTCAAAGTTTCTAGGGGTTGGTCTAGATTTTAGGAAAAATTTTTATAAATGGACTTTAATAAAGACGTGTTAAAACTTTTTATTATATATGGAGAGGTCTAGACTTATTTTAGGAAAATTTGTTATATGTGGACTTTATAATTTAATTAATAAATAAATATAAATATTATTATTAATCGCGGTCGAAATTTATAGGCGTGCATCTAGATATATTTTAGGAAAGTTTATTATATATGGGCTTTAATAAATAAATATAAATATTTTTATTAGTGAAGGTCAAAGTTTCTAGGGATGGTTTTATTTATTTTAGGAAAAGTTGTTATATATGAATTTTAATAAATAAATTAATAAATATAAATATTTTTATAAATCACGGTCAAAGGTTCTAGGAGGGAAATGCATAATATTATTTGTATTTTTTTCATCATAGATATGCTTTTTATTATATATGGAGAGGTCTAAATTTATCTTAGGAAAATATGTTATATACGGATTTTTTCTAATAATTGCAGCGGGTGGTCTAAATTTATTTTAGGAAAAATTTGTTACATGTGGACTTTAATAAATAAATATAAATACTTTTATTTATAATGATCAAAGGTTTTAGCTGTTGTCTAGATTTATTTTAATAAAATTTGTTGTATATAGACTTTTATAATTAAATAAATATAAATACTTTTATTAATCACGGTCAAAGTTTCTAGGGATGGTCTAGATTTATTATAAGAAAATTTGTTATATATAAATTTTAATTAATAAATAAATATAAATATTTTTATTAGTCACAGTCAAGGATTCTAGAAGGGAAATGAATAATATTATTTGCATTTTTATTTTTCATTATATATATGCTTTTTATTATATATTGAGAGGTCTAGATTTATCTTAGAAAAATTTGTTATATATGAACTTTTTATTATATAATGAGCTTATTATGGGGGTGTTTTGTTGTGCAGGTGCTTATTGGCTTTTTTCTCAAACTTTTACCTCCACTGTCTTTTTTTTTCAAAAATGGCATCCTTATCTCACTTTGAGGTGTCTTTTCTTTAGTATATATTTTTATAAATAGTTTAGTAAATAGCCTTGCAATAGGGTTTATTTTTGGAAAATATTCAGAAATAAATATTCAACATAGTTAATTTTAATATAAATGTAAATAAATCAACGAGTAAAAATTAATTATTAGTATAAAAATATCATCTAAAAATGGCAAGAAGTAAAGATTCAACATAGTATATTTTAGTATAAATGGAAATAAATCAACGGGTGAAATATATATTTTATTATAAAAACACTCATCTAAAAATGGCAAGAAATAAATATTCAACATAGTATATTTTAGTACATATTTTTAAATGAAAATAAATCAATTGATGAAATAAACTAGAATGAAAAATTAAAAAAATACTTATCTATAAATGGTAAGAATTCAAATAGTCTTGAATAACGATTGTTTTGTAAGGACAAACAAAATAAGATTTAATAATGGGCAATATCTCATCCATTTAAAAATTAAAACTCATTCAAAAGATGTTCAATAAGTAAAAAAATAAGTTTCACATTTATTATGGGATTGTAAAATAAACGTAATTTTTATCAATATTAGTATTACATATTCCACTGTGATAGAGATAAAATTTTCATATTCAATCCTTTACTGAACTTTATATTCTATTATATATTAATTTTTATTCTTCAATAATGATCCGAATATAATTTAATATTATAAATGGAGCCGTGCAACGCACGGGTGTAATACTAGTTGCTACATAAATGTGGGGAAATTTCGGTCCCACTGGTGGACAAGTGTGGGTAATTTAATACATTAGCCACACTTATATATTTGGCTAATGTTTTGTTTTGCCACATTTATATATGCAGCAAATGGATAATTGAGCCTCACCCTATAAATGAGGTAAATGGATTATTTTGCCGCACGTATATATAGGTGAAGAATGGAATAAATCTTGACTACTTGAATTGTGAATATAAGGGGTATATATATAGTATTCCTAACTACTTCTATACAAGGTAAGAATACATAAAAGAAATATTTGGAATAAGGAAACATGTACACAAGGAAACAATATCAAATAATACTACCTCCGTCCCTCAGTATTTGTCCAGTTTTGACTTCTTTTAGTCAGCTGTTTTCAACCTTTGACCTATTATTAAAAAAACATATATTGTATATGAATTAGATAAAATAATATTTTGAAAATATATGATATAATAAATCTAATAAAATTATTTTTATATCAATATCTAATATCATTTTTATTTAATTTGGGGTCAAAATTTACGAATTTTGATCACAAAAAGTCAAAAGTGGACAAATACTCAGGGACAGAGGGAGTAGTAAATACAATTTCTATATTTAACAATTGGGATTGATGGAGAAGGGATTTTTCCTTATCTAATATTATTTGAACAGTACAAGTAAACCCATTTCAGTGTGGCCCAAGATATAAATCATACTCCCTCCTTCTCACATGGATCTTCCCATTAGTCCTTTTTATTTGTCTCCTACACATCTTCTCATTACCTGTTTTTAACATTTAAAATATCACAATTACCCCACTTTATTCATTACACCTCACTCACCTTATTGAATACATTCCACCTATTTTCATTAAGGGTATTTTGATAAACTTTCATCTTTCAACTCTCGTTAAAAATAACAAAAAGTCAAAATGAGAAGATCGTAGGGGGACAATGTGAGTATATTTTATTCAAGACGGAGTCAGAGATATGAAGGAGAAGAAGATAAAATTGATAAGATAGACAAATTCGATGGTGGACCTAAGGTCAATCATGAACCTACATATGAGCAAAATAAGCATTTTTTAACTATTTAAATAAATATTTGTTTTTTGTTAAATAAAAAATAAAAAAAGAATTTTTATGTGAGGTCCATAAAAATAATATGCACCCAAAGTGAAACACTCGATAAGATATGATATTATTTGTGGGTCTGGAGATTATGTGGTGGGGTTAAGATTATTATCTTGAATTTAGGATCCCCCAGTCGATCAAAAGCGGAAGCCCGCTAGAACGAGGACGACTCACCTTCCTCGTCCAGCCTTGACAGATCGTCCTCTACCAACGCCTTCCCATTAGGCTTGGTCGCCTTCTTCTTCTGAGAACGCCTGGTCTTCTTCTTCTTTCTCCCTTCAGATGCTGCAGGTCCGGCCTTCCCCCCGACCTGCGCCCCTGTGATGTCATCCACCACAATCTCTTGATTTGGGGTCAGGGCCGCCACCACCTCTTTAAATTGATCAGTCGTGATCCCGATCCGCTGGATGAGGGCCTCAGCCTCCGTCACGCTGATAGGGAGGCGACAGCCTCCGATGGCGCTCGTTTCTCCCTGAGGAGGGTTCTCGGTAGGCTGATTAGCGTTACTTCGAGTTTGCACCATTGTTTTTCGGAAGATTTTCTCTTGAGTGAATTTCTCGAGCTCTCAATGAAAGCACCAATTTGATGGTCAGTAAATCCACCAAATAATCCGACTTGAAAGGCAGATCGTAAGAATAACTAAGAAACGGGAGCTCGAGAATTATGAAATTATTCGCTAGGTTTTGCTTGAGGTTTTCCGTTCGGATCCCCTCTATTCATACATGCTTCTTTACTTAATTAAGGTAATTTACGATTTATGGGAACTAATCCCGAGATTTGCGCGATCCTCTTCATTCGGCTCCTTTTTCGCAACCTAGCCGCGTCTCCTTCTCGAAGATGAAGTTTCCACGGAGCTCCAGTTCGAGTCAGTTTAACCCCAAAGCTTTGGGCCGGCTTAGGGTCGACTCCACACGCCCACGGATACCCCAGCGCCTTTGGGCACAGGACTTGGGCCGCCCGTCAGGTATCGGCCCATCAGTACCACATTGAGAAATAAAAACGTATGATATTACATTGATAAAGTTATCAAATTATAGTACTATTTAAATAAATTCTCCTTTATCTAATAGTTCAACCACCAAACAAGACACATCTAGAGGGACCCGAGTGTTCAAGGTTACTTTCAGACTTTGTTTGGCCAAAACTGCCTTTTGATCTTGACATATAGATATTGTCCTTTTCAACTTATTCTTATTAAAATCAAATCAACTTTAAATATTACTACAAGACCATAACATATTCAAATAAGATGAGGCAAGTCTACCTATATGGCCAAGCCTACGCTTTAAGCCTCTAGCATTCCTCTTCCTACACCCAATATACTTGTTTGGGCTGAACTTATTACCCAGACTATTAGTTGACCTGTTTTGGTGGGTGAGAGCTTCTTTTCTTGGTCCAATCTCTTCCTCTTAGTCAAGGCGTCAAGGCCCATACATAGCCTTGGGCCTCTCCTTTCCAAGCTCTAATGTCCTACTAGGACATCCTGGGTCAAGTGTATATAGTCTTAGGCCCTTTCAAGCTCTTATTAAGACTTAAAAAAAAAAGTTGGCATGAAGCTAGGCCTGTCAATGGGTCGGGTATAGACCCGAACCCATATAATACTCGTAATTTTTTAGCGGGTTTAGGAGTATAAAAAATACCGTTTGCCCGTATTCGAACCCGTACCCGTTATTTTAAAAAAATAAAGGGTTGGGTATAGAACGAGTAGTACCGACCCGTTTAAAACCCGTGCCGGTTAAATATATATTACGTACATAATATTAAAATTACAAAACTCTACCTCTCTTCTTCACTACTCATCTTCTTTGCTGGTTGTGTGGCTTCCAAATCTATTTGTATTTATTTCACCACATTAGAGACATGTACACATTGGTTTATGCTATGCAGTAGTATAAAATAAATAATTTGGAATTAGTTGTAATGTTATAAAGCATTCTTGCAACATGAATGAATATGAAAAGAAGATCGATTATGAATCTAAATTTTTTGTTGTAGATTTTTGGTGAAAAAGGCCGATTTTTGTTGCACTAACGTATTGGTCTTATTTTTATTTGTATTTAATTAAAGTGTTTTTCATTCATAGTATTTTCACTAATTGTTTTTCAATTAGAGAAAAATAAAAGACGTCAACTTTTATCATGGATATACCCGACCCGATACTGAGAACCAATGGATCCAAATATAGGATTAAACTTCAAGACCCGTCGGGTAAATGAGTACGGGTCAGGATCAAATTTTTTAAAATAGGTACGGGAATAGAACACTATGGACCGGCCCGAACCTGACCCATTGACAGGCCTACATGAAGCATACCGTAAAGAAAATTAGTACTAAAATGGAACATATCAAATAATTTTTAATGCAAGTGGACTTGGTAAAGGGAAGTCTTGTTTAACTGAAAAGAGCCCCCTTTTGCACACATTGAGATGGTCATCATATGTGACAACATTACATTGTATCCATTCATGTTACGCTACTCTCATCAACTTCCTTAAAAACTAACGGCGTCGCGTAAAGTATCTTCTCCACGGGTAGATAATGGTTCTCTATCTCTCGATAGAAGACCTCGTGATCTTCATTTATTTTGGCTGCCGAGCTTGAATTTGTTTGTCCACCGCGGCATTTATTGGAACTTTGTTACTCTATAGAAATGTCCATTTAGTGATTAGTACTATAAGACTATAATAAGATAGCAGTCTAAAATCCCTAGCTATGGAGCAAAAACATTATCCAAGAAATTAAATATGATTTTCACAAGCTCTCTAACAATAATAATGAGGCACAAACGTACAGGACGTACGTGCTCAGTGGCTCCAATTTCAGTCCTTACGGCTGCAGCCTGCAAGCTATCTACAAAGTGCTGAAGCTGATAAAGCTCTGTGGCATATACATCAAAACCCATCACTCCCCCGAAAGAACTATGGAAGCTATAATGAGTAATACTTACTACCTCTGTTTCATATATAAAGAGTCATGTATTAATACTTTTTTGTCTTAAAAACCGCTCCTTTCAATCAATAGAAACTAGTTTTCTTCATATTTAACGTTTTTGATGTATAAAAAAGTGTCCCGAATAAGTTTAGTTTGTTAAATTTAGTTAAACCAAAAATAATTTTATAAATATAGATTGAAACTCCTTTATGCCGTTTACGGGGCGGAGGAAATCATCCCATTCCAAAGTTGTTCGCAGTTTTGCACTCGTACCTGATCATTGTCACATGGGGTCGGATAAAGTTCCTGAATGGTCTCAAGAATCTATTCGCGTAAGACATGTATAGCTCACATTATGAAGATAAAATGTGGGCAGGTCTAGAATTCACAGCTCAGCTTACTCCCTTGGGCTTTTTGTAGAAAGTTGGCCGAGTTTATATTTCTTCTATCTTCGACCCTCTCTTTTCAGCTTCAGATTGTCCTGAATAATCAACAAAACAAAAATAACTTGCGTTCTTTTTTTCCAAGGAAAGGTAGATAGGTGCGCAATAAGTGAGTGTGACTTACCTTCAGTTTCAACACATCAAGTGACTGGATGCCATGGGGAAGGCATGATTGATGCAAGTTCTTCACAAATTGATGTTCTAATAACATACTAGCAGTCGGCCTCTCAGCTGGGTTTCTGCGGAAACAACACTGCAAGAAATCTTTCCCTTCGGGTGATAGTGAATCAGGTATTGGTGGTGATTCCCTTAGGACCTTGAACATGGCTGCAGGCTATATGTTACATGGAATAAAGAGGAATAATTAATGCGACTTGTCGAGTGTTACAATTTATCCAGCACATGGAAGAAGGAAGGGCTTATATTGCACTTACTCCTTCATACTCACTCCAAGGTGGTTTCCTATTCATCATTTCGATTATAGTACAACCCAAACTCCATATATCAACAGCTAAAGCATGGTCAGACTCAGAGTCTTGTATATCTGATTGCAAGAGCTGCATGCAGCAAAAGATATTAGTGTTCAGCAGCCAATAATGGGCTTGGGAGAATGTTGTAGGAGGGAATACCAAACTTCATCCGCCAACTACCAGTGAGAGCAAATGGTCCACAGGATAGTATTATCTTATTTAGTCCAATTATAACAAAAACAAATCATCCATTATTTTGTCTTTTTTTGCCAGAGTTCGCAAAAATTGGCAGTGAGTCATGTGACTGGCATGTTCGGCTGTATTGAGAAAAAATGGGAAAATTTGGGTTGCACAGAGTCACAGTTATGGTACTAAACTCGTATTTCTTCCCAATGCTATAGTGTTATACCAAGAGTAATAAGAAAAGAAAAGACAATCACATACCTCAGGCGCCATCCAATATGGACTTCCCTTCAAAGAAAGATGTCCTGCCTGTCCAGAGAGCTGAACAACAAGAGCCTGGGTCATCAATCAAATATAATACTCTATAGCATAAAAGCCTGCTAATAATGCTTAGCCATTCAAATACTGAAGCATAAGCTTCTTGGCTTCCACTCTTCAATATTCGGGCATTGGAAACTTACATGTTTAGACATCCCAAAGTCAGCAAGCTTGACAACACCATATGCATCCACGAGCAAATTAGCGCCTTTAATGTCCCTATGGAAATTCAAACATGTCAGAGTTGGTACGCCACAAATGATGTTTTATACGGAGTATCATTTTTATTAGCATAGCTTGGGGCCGTGACGCACCAGAAGGGAAAGAGCCTCACGAATTGACAAACGTAAATGCAAAAGCTCTGACAAAAGTCAGAACGACCAAATTGTTATTCAAACTTGAGCAGAAAAGTTTTTAATGGTATCAAATAACTCAAATGACTCTTTCATTAAAAATAACCACGTAAATTCAAAAAATGATCAATGAATATGACAAAAATGCCAAACCCTGTATTCAACAAATTATGGTCCTCAGACGTCTGTATGGACTAGACCACATCGGAACTAAGCATGGTTATTAATTCCTTGAGAAAAGGACAAATGATGTTATTTACCAAGGTGACAAGACTCAGAATCTAGTGATAAAATTTTGAGCAACTTAGGACCAAGTGCCAAAGTTTGGAAAGACAATGGCAGCACAGTAAGTTTTATGAAAGGTAATTGCAGACTTAGAAAATACACAAACAAGTAAACAACTAGATCACAAGGATAAAGGAAAAGATTCCCTACCAATGCCAAACATATTCCTATCGACTATATTTTCCAGAAGACAAAATTAAACGGGTAATAAGAAAGATTCAAGGCATCATCCAATGGCAAGGATGATTGTGGATTTGTGGGAGAGCATGTCTTAGACCAACTGCTGGTGTTTAAGAGCCACTGGCAGGAACAATTAAAGATAAACCTTAAGTTTGGACATATTTGATAAAGGATAGGAAATATGCAAGACATCAATAAAAGCACACAAATAAAGGACCTACAAGTAGAAGTATTGCAGACATGGGATGTCAATGCATTAAAGTTCTAGCATTCCTTACATTAAGTATTTAAAACGAAAAATGGAGACGGTGGAATTTAGACAACATTGACTGAATTTTGAGGTCTCGTGCACCAAACACTTATCCTAAGTTTTACCGATTCTATGATAAAAATAACACTTTGGACTATTCTGGCATTAACTTTCACAAGTAGAGGAACTAGAGAGTAGAGACAATTAGTATTAGATAGAATGTCCTAACAAAGATACTTGCGAAGACACCCAGAATAAGGAATGAGTGCAGATATGGAGGCAGTATTGTGACGTTGACAATGAATGTCCGGATCGTTGTAGACCTGCGAAAACCGGCATGTGTAGGTGGGTCTACACAGTTGTGTCCGGATTTAGTGGTACGCTCAGATTTTATGGATCACTACCAGAGTACCAGAGAATAACACTTTTCCAAAAATGCCAATGCTCATGCCAAAAAGTCAACTATTCATGCCAAAAAAGAGATGGCTCTAATACTATATGAATATTTATTTAATAATACTTTATCCCTTACATTCAGATCTGTGCACGAAGCCAAATAGATATGGAAATACAATGACATCTTGAATATGCAAGAGATTACATCAGCAAGATATAGTCATCGCAGAAATAAGTAAACGCTAGTCTACAGTCTAAATATATTGCATTTTTCTACATATAAAATTATATACTACTCCACCCATAACGGAAAAAATCTTACTAAAAATAGTAATACACTTCTTTTACTTTTCCCTGGCATTCCAGACCTTTCCGTATTACCTGTGTATGGTTTTCGTTCCATGCAAGTAAGCCAACCCACAAAGGATATGACGGGTGAAATTACGAACAACAGATTCTGTAATTGCTCCACAATGATCATGGATGAACTTAGTGATAGAACCGGGATGGACATATTCAAGATATATGTAAAACTTGTCACCAACCTAAAACAGTACAAGGAATTGTGATGTTAACAACAAATGCTGGCAAACACAAAATACAGAGTATATGGCAAAAAATCAGTCACTCACTATTTCACTTCCAAAATATTGTACAATGTTTGGATGCTTGAGATTGCTAAGAACTTTAATTTCCTGCACAAATAGATTATAATAAGCAATGAAAAAACATAACACATATTTCACTGTAGTTTGGGATAAAAACATTAACAGTTCCTCAAAAAAATTAAAAGAATATTATTTCCCACGCACTCCACAATCTTCCGGGAGCATGGCTCGAAGTGATTCCGTATAATCACTTGTTTAATCTTTGTAGGAGTTGCTATGTTTAAATATTGGTAATAGATAGCAAAGAACAACCTGTTGTAATTGCTTCATGCATTCAGAGGATTTGGGGTCATCCGGTAGTATTTCAACTTCTTTCATAGCACATAAAGCTCCAGTTTCTCTTTTATGAAAAGTGAAAAAGGATTCAATGCTTTGTTTAAATAAAAAAGGTTGCACATACGTATTTACTTGAAACCTGGTGTACCTGTTGGAAGCTACATATACACTTCCAAATGTCCCGCGACCAATTAGCTTTCCTTTTTGCCACTGGCCTTTGATGGGAACTAATTCCAATATAGGAGTCGCGGGGACTGGAGTAGGTTGTGATGGTGTAGCAGCGGATGGAGGACGAGGCAAGGGGTGGACATTGCTCTGAGAACTATTATTACTATCACGGCGTATGATTGAGGCCTCATTTGGAAACATATTAGGCAAAGGGGAAGTCGTACGAGTTGGACTTCTCATGCTCAGTGTAGGACTTAATCTCGGACTTTGGTGGGGAGAACTATCATCAACACTAAATGCAGGTTTCTCTTGCGAAAGCTGATAAGGGAAACCAACACCGAAGGTATGATCTGCCGCGGATTGACGCATCTCTGGCGCAGACCAAACTTGGAAAATACTATGTTGGGGAATAAAGTTGGTACTCAAATGTTCCCCCACACAATTCAAGGGGCTAAGCGCTGGACTTGCATAAGGACTTGTTGGAGCACTACTAGGTGGAGGAATTCTCAAGTCAGTGAATCTTCTTGCTCCCTTAGGCTCACGATGAGACTTCCTCCTACACAGGCTTTCAAGATGTCCCGTGTTCTTTCTGGCCGCTTCGCTAAGAAACCTAAGAAAATCACACCAAAAAAGCAAAGAACTTGCTTTGAATCTAATTCATCAATGCCACATTACAGACCATCATTTTACTCTTAACTACTATAATATCATATCAAAACAAGAATTACCATTTGCCAAAAAATTCCTATTTATAATGACAATAACGGTCGATCAAAATTCAAAAGTCGGAATAATTTAAAGAGGAGAATTTTTTTTTAAAAAAAGGAAATGACTAAATTTACCTATGAAGTGAGAGAGCCTCATCTCCATGCCCATCATTATTGGGAGAAGGGTTAGAATCGGCTTTCTCTCTTATAACATCTCTGTCTTTGGGATTGAAATGCAAATTCTTTGGCGAAGGCAGGGGGATGCTACAAGAATTAGAGATGGAATCAGGTACAGGGAGAGGCAGGGGAGACGGCTGAGCCACAGAGGAAGACGTGGGGGCCCGCGAATTCTCACAGGAGCTTTCCCTGCTCGGGATACAAGCACCTATATCCTGGCAAATGACATGGTGGCAATTCGCTCCGCCATCCAAGGGGCGGCCACGGCTGCGGCTACGGCTGCGGCCGAACAAGAAAGCCCATTTTAGGGTTTGCTTTCCACCGCCGGCCACGATCAAACTATCGTCGGAATGTACCTTGGCGGAAGAGGACGGCGAAGATGACGTGGCGGAAGAGATGAATGCGCTTCGCCACCAATGCATTGCCTGAGATTCGCCTAAATCTGGCATGCATGGCTCGATCGGAGAGCCGGAGAACAAGGCGGATGAACACAGTCGCCGCAGGTTGCTGAGTTTTCCCGGAAAATGATACTATAGAATTGTAACGGCAACGAGGAAGCAACCTACGACGGCGAGGCAATTTCGCCGGAGCGGGGAAGAGAACTTGTCCCCCACCCTACCTGAGGTCAAAATACCTCTCTTCTGCTATGCCTATTTTCAGAACCTTCTATATTTTGTGCAAATCAAGCTTAACATGGGGATGGGACGTTAGGCTATGCGGACAGGTTTGGATGGTCTTTGAATTTTGAAATGGATTTCCTCGTTTGCTTCCCACTTACTCCCTCCATCCGAAAATGTTCTTCCCATTTGATTTTTCACGATCTCCAATATTATACTTTGACCATTAATATCTATATTTATATATAGATATATTTTATAAAAAATTGATATTTGAAAACTGTGTTTCATTATGAATATAATGATATTAAATTTACATCATAATACAATGTGTTTTTTTCACAAATCATAGTCAAAGTTTATATACTTTGACCAAGAAATGTCAAATGTGAAAAACATTTCCGAACGGAAGGAGTATAATACTTGGGGCGGTTGGGTGACATGAACTCTACCTATCCCATCTTATCACATAGCTCCCGATTAGGGCATCTACTTTATTCGTTCAAAAATGAATGATTCTTACATCCTAATCTCTTGCCCCCAGTCCGAACATACCACGTACCCCGTCAATTGCATGGCACAATTTCAACTAAATCTTGTGGCATGCAATTGACGGGGTGTGGGGGTATGTTCGAGCTGGGGTGGAGGTTTACCTAGAGTAGGAACCATCAGTTTTTCAAAAGGGGTATTTTATGAACTTCGGGTTATCCAATGTCATTGAATCTCAATGTCATGGGAACCAAGATGATAATACTTTGCGCTCTCTTGTTTGTCTAATTTTTGGTGTTTTGAAAAAAAATGAGCACTCATCCCCGATGGCCTCTCAAATCCGACTGGACGGTTACTGAGAAAAGGTAAATTATATTTTAATCACAGATTGGTGACATATAGTAGATCCTGCACCTGATATTTGCAGAGTTGCTCCCAATGCAGTCGTCAAGAATCGAACTCGAGTCTACCCCTTGGTGTTTTGAACTTAGAAAACAACTTTCTACGAGTGCATTTTTTTTCAAGAATAATGCTAAATATCCAACACCCTTACCTCTATTTCTAAATTTTTTAATTCCTAAATTTCTAAGAGTTATGCTAGAAAACTATTACATTTAACATTACGAATGACAATCATCTATGAATTTGTACGCACACGATAACTGTTTGTAAACATATGGAGTTTATAGATGATTGTCGCATGTGTTTTTTTCTTTCTTCTCTTCTCCTTATTCAAGCACATGATAGATCTATATTTAACAATAAACTTCTGGTTCAACCTACGTCCTCTTCCGTGGCTCAACCCCCATTCAAGATATTAGTCAATTTTTTTTAAAATTTTCTACATACAAATTAAGGTTTTCTTGAAGTGATTGTTATCTGGATAATTTACCTAAATAGGACTAAAACATAATGACTTTCTCAATATAGGACCATATGTTTTTATTTCTCAATGTAGAACAATTGGATTGCTAAGAAACATAAAACTCCAATTACACTGATTCCATTATAGAAGATTCATAGTTGTGTTTAATGTTATCCTCTTTTAATATTGAGCCTTATGAAATTGAATTTTAAGCATTTGATTTTATAAAACTCCATTATGTTTCTTTTAAAATTTGAAATAGCATCTAGTATTTTCCTTGTGAATAAATGAATCATATATATGAATTATTTAGAATAATCTAAACATTAAGTCAAGATTTGCATAATGGTTCTTCACATTCAATTTCTTTGTATAAACTGAATGATTTTTTAACATTGTTAAACTCCTAAATAAAAATGTTCCCAATTGTTAAATTTATATTCAGTCTTATGATGTTTTAGCCAAATCAATTGTTTATAAGCTTTCAATTATGATGTTTCAGCCAAATTAATATTCACTCTTATGATGTTATTATTCATATACCTACATACATACATACATATATATTATATAATATATATATATATATGTGTGTGTGTGTCTAATAACTAAATAATAATTGTTATCTTTAAAAATTATGTAACATTTACTAATTACAAGTATAATTTAATATACTACTACCTCCGTTTCTCAAAAGAGTTCCTCTTTTGACTTTGGGGAAAAAAATAAGGAAGTGTTAAATTGTAGTTGACTTTCCAATTTTGCCCTTGATGTGATGGGTAAAAGTAAGATGTGATAGTTTAGTTGTTAGTGAAAAAGTATGATGTGATAGGTAGGGTATGAAAAAATAGGGGTAAAAGTGGTTTTTTAATAGAAAAGGGAAGTATTTTAAGAAAAACAAAAAAAATGAAAGAGGAAGGGTTTTAAGAAACGGAGGGAGTACATTTTTTAGTTTTTTCAACCATTTTAATCAACTAAATATAAATTTTAAATTTTTAATTGTGTTTAAGAACAAATTATCTAGTATCTACTTTTTGAGAATATGAGTATCTCCCTATTATTTAAGTATTTGTTAGACATTCACTACTAATTTTTAATCATAAAATAATGAAAAAATAGAAAGTGTGAAATAATATATGAACAACGATATTAAAAGCTATATGAAGAATTAGAAAAACACAAAACAAAAATACTTTTATTAACTAAAAATATCTAATAATGCAATATAAATGTTATTGTTTTAATCATAGTTGACTGTGTGTTGACGACCCACGATTCGACTGGTCTGTCCTTGACCCACTACCTCGTGTGGTTTAATGTCCGGTTTGGTTTTTGCAACATTAATTTGCAAGTAATTGATGTGTGCATTGCTTAGGTATGACTTATGAGTGTCTATTACTCTATTATATTGTCTCTGAATGAAAACATAAATGATTGACTTTAATCCACTAAAAGAAAGAGCTACTAATTGGAATCAATATGGGTATATATACGGAGTACGGAGTATAATTTAAGAGACAAAGCAATCATTCAAATGATTTTGGGAATAAGAATTAAATCCTTTACGATGACGTTAAGTGATGCATTTATGGGAGACGAAAAGAAATACTTCATTCGTCTTGAAATTAACTTTTCATTCAAGTTTTATGAACTTTGACCAAGTATTACAAAAAAAATACATTGATATTTTATATAAATTTAATATCAATAGATTACTTTTGAAACATAATTTTGATATATTTTATTCTTTTAGTTTATATTTATATATATAAATAAATATATTAATGATCAAAGTCTTGCATTGAAGACCATCAAAAATCAAACAGGAAATTAATTTTAGGACGGAGTAACTATTTGTTGTCTCATTCAATCGGTAAAATTAAGGCCCCGTTTGGTACACGGAATTCAAACTATGGAATTGGAATTGAGGACTTCAATTCCAATTCTTGTGTTTGGTAGCACAAAAATTATGTGGATTTGGAATTGATAGTGCAAAAAGTGAATTGGAATTGATAAATTCAATTCTATGGAATTAAATCTCATGAAATTTCAATTCCAATTCAATTCCAATTCCATCAATTCCGTATACCAAACGGACCCTAAGTCTATGATTGGGTTGGTATGGTCCCCAATATTCTTCTTTCCCAAGTTAGAAACTAGAGTTATAGTTTATAGGCATCACACGCGACTCAAATCTAATACGGAGTATTGGGTTAGACCAAATGTTTGACTCGTGGGTAAGTGTAACCCTAAGTGCTCGGCTCGATCAACTAGGCTACTCACTTAGAACAAAAATATTGAGCTTGTTTAGTGAATAATAACTTCTACGACCCAATAAAAACCTACAAGGTTCAATTTAAAATCATATTCCCACTTTGACTTTTGGTCATTTTTATGAGTAGTTGACTATGGGATGGAATGGTCTAAAATACCCTTCACTCCTCCTGCTAATTACCCCATCTCAATCCCATCTCAATCTGCACCACACCAGACCCATCGCCGGCATACCCCCCACAGCCACCAGCCCCATCACCACCGCCAACCCCACCTTCTCTTCCAGCACCCCATCACCACCAGTCCCTCTGTCACCGTCATTCCCCACCATCGCGGACATGGAAGAATAAGAAGACAACGGAGAAAGGGAAGAAGAAGAAGAGGCGGATGGTGATTGAGGCACAGATCTATTTAGATCTAGAAGAAAGAAGGAGGAGAAGAAGAAGAAGAAGGGGGAGAATCTGTGCGAATCGGAGAAGAGAGAAGAAGAAGAAGAAGAAGAAGGGGGAGGATCTGTGTGAATCGGAGAAAGAGTAGGAGAAGAGAGAAGAAGAAGAAGAAGAAGAAGAAGATGGGGGGGTCTGTGCGGATTGGAGAAAGGGCAGGGGAAGAAGAAGAAGAGAAAAAAAGAAAAGAAGGAGGAGGAGGAGGAGAGGGTCTGCGCAGATCGAAGAAAGAGAGGAGTGGTGGTGCTGGAGGAGAAAGGAAGAAAAGAAAAGAGGACAAAGGAAGAAAAAAAAAGGAATCACCGATCAAAAAGAAGAAGGAAAGAATGGAAGGGAAAAAAAAGGAAGAAAGAGAAAGAAAGAAGCAAGAGGGTAGTTTTGGAAGAGTTGTAAAAAATGAGTAGAATGGGAATATCATTTCCGGACGAAAAAAAAGGTACAATGGGAATATCATTTCCGGACGGAGGGAGTATAGTATATGAGTTAGATAAAATAATACGGAGTATTTGAAAAAAATAGAAAATGAATCTAATAAAATTATTAAAATATCAATATTTAATATAAAATTTTATTTTATTTACATTCAAAGTTTATTAAATTTGACTATAAAAGATTAAAATTAGACAAATTTTCTAAATTAGAAGTATCATTGATTATAGAGTAAGTCTAAAATGACACAAGTGCTACTAGTGTCATTTGCTTATACCAGTTTGTTTAGGGTATCTACGGTGCCCCGTTTCTGAAAATGATGGTTCTTACACCTTATAACCCGCCCCCTAAACCCCCCACCCCAGCCCCACCCTTGCCCCCCCACCCCAA